CGTAACACGCGTCTAGCGATAACTCGCTATTGACTCGACACACACACTCGACATCATGACTCAACATTCACACACAATTATAAGCATGAAATATATATTATCCCATGCCCTCATACCATTCCATACACACACACATTCACGCACACGGACAACAAGCCGAGTGCAAACCGTAGGGTTGCACCAACAAACTCCCCCTCGGATTGTTGGCCTTAGGCTATGTTGCTCTCTCAGTTCAGAGCCATCCCAGCCAGCTTGCAACACTTCCAATGCTGCTGCTCCACCAGCCTCTTGGTCATCATGTCAGCCGGCTGCCCCGTGGTCTTCACGTAGCGCAACTCAACTTCACCCGCGGTTACCATGCTCCTCGTCCAATGCCACTTCACTCTCATGTGCTTCGTGAGTCCATGCAACACAGGGTTCTTAGCAAGAGCAATGGCACCCTGGCTGTCACAGTACAGTGGGGTAGGTCCTTGCTGCTCCTCCCCCAATTCAGCCAACAAACGCCGCTGCCACACAATCTCCCGTACGGCACGGAAGAGTGCCATGTACTCGGACTCCACCGAGCTCAAAGCTTGGTCAACCTGCTTCTTGCTCTCCCAAGCAGTTGGGCCTCCACCAACACAGCATATGAAGCCTCCCACACTTGTCATGTCCTCTGGTTCTGATGCATATGAAGCATCCGAGTAGGCGGTGAGGAACAAACGCCCGGGTTCAACACCATCCGCGCCCTTTTGGCGCCTTTGTGCCGCCGCCGAGTATTGCAGCCCAACGGTCGGTGTTTGGCCAAGATACTTGGCCACCCTCATTCCAGCTGCTACCTGCTCCTCATTAGGGCATTGCACAACCCTAGCCAGCTGCCCGGTAGCAAACGCGACGTCCGGTCGGGTGTTTACCGCCGCATACATGAGGCTGCCCACCAACGAGTGAAATCGGCGCCTCTCCTCTTCACCAACGCTCTCCTCCTCTGGTCCCTTCACACACTTGAACCCAGAGGGAAAGGGTGTAGCCACATGGCCTTCACTCTGCCCAAAGTTGGCAGCCAATGCCTCCAGGTACTTTCGTTGATGCACCCGCATGCACCGCTTCTCCACATCTCGTTCGATGTGGAGCCCAAGGTAGAAGCTCACGTCACCAAGGGCCTTGCACTTGAACTTGTCTTGAAGCTTCAGCATCACCTCCTTCACAAGGTCAGAAGAGGGTGAGAAAATGAGGATGTCATCCACATAAACCACCATGAAACTCCTCTGCTCCCCCTCGCCAAGCATGAACAAGGAGTGATCGGCCGTTGAGGGAGTGAAGCCGATCCCCTCCAACACTTCGCGCAGCTTCATGTACCATTGCCTAGGGGCCTGCTTCAGCCCATAGAGGGCCTTCTTCAGCTTCCACACTCTGCCACTACCATCATCAAACCCCTCTGGCTGCGCCATAAAAATCTCCTCCTCAAGGATGCCGTTAAGGAATGCCGTTACGATGTCCATTTGCTTTACTACCCATCCTTTGATGGCGGCTCCCGCGAATAGGGTTCGCAGCGTCGTCGGCTTCACCACAGGGGCAAACAGCTCCTTGAAGTCCACCTTCTCCTTCTGCTGGTACCCCTTGGCTACAAGCCTAGACTTGTAGCGCTCGATCTTGCCGTCGGCATCCGACTTGATTTTGAAGAGCCACTTGGACGTTATCGCCGTACGCCCCTCCGGTAGCTCCACCAATTCAAACGTGTCATTCTCCTCGATGCTCTTCAGCTCACTCTCCATGGCCTTCTTCCACTCCTCAGCATCACTACTCTCCAAAGCCTCCTTGAGAGTTGCTGGTTCTCCCGGCATCTCCACCGGAGAGAAGAACGCGAAGGCACACTCCTCGTAGTCACTCTCCTCGTCGTCTCCGACCATCATTGCCACTCCGGCCAGGGCTGTCTTGCCCTGCTTTCCCGGCGCATCATAGGTCAGCCTATTAGGGGGTTGAACTCTCCTCTTCCCCCTTCCTTCCTCCTCAGCTGCAGGGACTTGAAGGCCTTGGCGTTGCTGCGGTGTGGCTCGAATCCGTGGAGCACTCGTAGTACGGGAAGGGAGTGACGGTGCACGCTCGCTCACTTGCTGCACCTCCTCCTCTTCTTCCTCTGCATCATTGGCCTCCTCTCCCCCATTCACAAGGGAGGATTGCCTTGTGGTTGTGCTGCCGCTGCTCAGCTCCAAAGGCAGCTCCACATGCTCCAAACCGGAACTCTTCACCTCCCCAAACCGCACGCCTATCTTCGCCTCATTCTCCGCCTTCCAATCCTTGTACATGAAGTTCTCCATGAACTTGCAGTCCCTGCTCACCAAGAACTTCTTGGTGAATGGGTCCCAAAGAAGCCATCCCTTGCTGTTTTGAGCCATGCCCAAGTGCACGGCCCACACCGCCTTGGCACCAAGCTTGTTGTGCCGAAGATGCTTAGGCACGAGCGCCATGCACATGCACCCGAACACCCGAAGCATATCCACCTTTGGCTTCCTTCCTAGCCACT